TTTTTTTTTTTTTCGATCTTTTTAGTATTTTCAATTTTCGAATATTATATATATTTTTTTATTAGATTGTATATGATATGCTTTTCAAAGTTTTCGCTTCGAGTCGGACGGGAGTATTTTCTTGATACGGATGGATAGATTTTAGAATTAATATTCAAGCGTTTAAAGTTTAAGTTAGTTTTAAGTAATGAAACTCGCCGATGGACGACGAGGGATGCGACGATGGACGACGAGGGACGACGATGGACAACGCGGGAATTTTCTAGATTTTAATATCTCGAATATAATAAATTGCGAAATCTAATTGTTTAAAATTTATTATATATATATATATATTGTGATTATTTATTTTAGAAATTACAGAAATTACAGAAATTAAAATTCAATCCAATGCGGCCTGGCATTGTGGAATCGTTGTGGGATGTGCGCCTAGCCTTAAATATAACTGTAAGATAATTTAGATAAGGCTAATCAAGTTCCTTGTGAGCGCATCCCATGCGAAGATATGAACAGCCTGCTTGAACAGCGAAAATTACGAAATCTTGTATTTTAATTCATTCCAATTATTTCGTTCCAATATTCCTCTGAAATATTCTGATATAATTGTACGTTCTTCGAGTTTTCTTTCGAGTCTGTTTCCGGTTCGCGCTCGTAATCGATCGATTTCCTCGAGCGCTCGATCAGGGTTGAACGTCGTAAATCGCCGACGTTTCGCCGTTAGGTAGTCACGAGTTCATCTCTTTGAATCGATCGAAGTAAGCCACGATAGATCGTCAATGGCTTGAATTTTTTAAATTTTCCTCCTCTTGGTTTTTGTATCTCTTTTTTGGTTATTCGTTTTTTCGATCGAAGGTATTTATTTTTCTTAAAGATTTCTCTAGTTTTGCTAAGGTTAAGGGGTGTATCTTTGATACGGATTGTGTTAGTAGGATAAATGAATCGTAGATTTAAAATTTAGTGTTAAGTATTTTTAGATTAAGATTTTTAGATTTAAGTAAAAGATGTATTATTTTATATATGTGATATTTATTTCTTATTTTATATTTTTTAATTTTGATTAATTATTAATTTTAATATTTTAGTTTTTGTTTTTTTGTTTTTAGGTGGGTCTCGACGCGTAGTCACCTCCTCGTGGTGAGACCTGGTAATTGGTATCGATTTTTGTCTAGATAAAAATCGATACCAAGCTAAGAACTACGCAGTACCTGTAGTCCAGTCTAATCTTTAACTTTAAAATAAATTCTTTCGAGTATTTCAATCATCTAGACTGGATTACAGGTACACTATATTATATATATCATTGTATACAATTGTTCAATAAATAACAACAAATATGATATACTAATTTTTTTTTCTCTTTTTCCAATCTTATTATTATTTCCATTACTTCTTTTTATCCAATCTTATTTTTCCTCGATCCAATCCAACGAATCTGTGAGAACGAGTTCGAAAAATAAATAAATAAATAAATAAATAATATCACGTTGAAGGGTGTGGAATATGTCGAAACGCGATCAACGAGAGAAAATGTTCGATTGCGTCCACGACGACGATATATTACCGCAGCGTAGCTAAGACGATAATTATATGCTGGAAGCGTTGCCATTATCTAACCATAACTACTCCCACCTAGATTCCGCACAATGCGTCCGGAGTGGGACCTTTAAACGGTTATCGTTGCTCAATGCAGCCACCCGAGACCAGCCATGCGAGCGCGAGTGTTGCAACCCTGGCGCAACGAGCTGAATTGTCGTTAATGCTGAATTACAAGACGAGAATTTATTCTTAACTGCGTACGTATGCGTATTCGAGATTTGAAATCACGTTCCTCGTTGATTTTTATCTGGACGGATGTAAAAATGAAAAATTTGAACGAACAGTCTTCGAGATCATCTATCTAGTTTTATTTTTCGATATTCGAGGAATAAGTAATGTGGATTTCTTCGATATTTGATTTTTCTTTCTTTGTTTTTTGTGAATAGAACGTATGTAGGTACGTTTCGTCTTTAGATGAAATTTTGTTTTCTCGTTAAGAATTTTTTTTTGCTAATAATTGAAATAATTGGTTTATAAATTTATGAAATGGTTTAGAAATTTTTGAAATTCATATGCGCGTGGCGAACCGAGCGAGTTATTACGAGAATGGATATACGCGCTTCGAGAAGATATAATGTATCGTTTTATCTACAGATTCGGGATAAAAATCGTTCCGTGATGTATTCTCCTTTGCGGAATATAGAGATAGTAGTCACGAATAATGATGGATGGATATTCGAATCTTAATAAAAAGAATCAAAGTTTTCAAGACTACGAAGATTCGAATTCACTTTGAATTCTAATTTTAGAATTCTTCGAAGCGATTGATAAGTCGTGCGAGATTTTCAAGAAATCGTATCTATATACCGTTCTATTTCAAGGAGAATAACAGACAACTTGTTGCAAGATTTTCTTAGAATTATCAAACGATTTCCAAGAAATATTCGAGATTTGAATCTACTCGTGATCGCTAGTATCGTGACAATTCTTACAGAATTCGATTTCGAGCATTCATCACTACCGTCGAGCACTATCGATATTCGTTTCGAAGGAAATCAATGTAGATTAACCAACATTCGTCTTCGAAGTAATACGAATTCTCACCACCGGTGGCGAGATGTCGCTGCGTGGAAGAGTTTAGAAACGATTGGTGGCTCGTTCAATTTAATTAACGACTTCCATAATCGAATCAGGCGATAATTTACAAGTTTCTTCGTCGAACCGCGTAGAAATCAACGGATAGAACGCGAAACGGAGATCACGCGTGAGCAAGAAAATAGCGGGAGGCGAGGGTAGAGGAGGAGGACTTGGAAAAAGGCTACTAGAACCAGTCACGTGCGACCATGCAACGTGCCGGCTGCACTTATGCTAGGTTCACGGCCTGCCTCTACTACCTTGCCACTAGTTGTGACATAATAGGATCTCGCCACTTCACCGGCTATTCTACGCTCGATTCAATCGTGGAGAAATCGTGGCAACTACTTCGAATCGACCAGTTTCGAATCAGTTTTTCAGTTTCGTATTGTTAGAAATTAGCAAGTGGTTTTTTGGTGAAATGAACGTTTTTTTAGGTTAGGATTTTAGATTTTCATTCAATTGTTTTTTATTTTTGTAGGTTTTATAGAAAGATTATCACGTACATTTATATACCAATGCTTTAACTTTGATGTTTAATCGTTTGTGTGCGATATATGAATCGATAATTCTAGTGTTGGTATTTTTTCAATTTCTGATAAAATTCTTTCGCGTTTGCTTATTAGAGAATAACATTTTATCTTTTTTTTTTTTCCTTTCTCCTATTGATATCTTGTGATTCGTTTAATTATTCATTACATAACGATTCTTTTCTATTCCATATCTATTATATCTAATTAATAATTATTTCTATCTATTCTATAATCTATTTAATAAATCAAATATGAAAAAAAAAAACAATATCTTAGAGTTTCTTAATATAATTCGATATATAGAATGTTTGTAAGAACGTGGATAAGAAATTATCTTTTTTATCTAAACCTTGAAGTAACAACAACAATAATAATACTCACTACATGCAAAAATGGATTTAATTTTACTTTTTAATCTTTTTATATCAAATGAAGAAAAAAATTCAATTCCGATTTAAAACAATCCCTATCTACCTAATCTACGCTTCATTCATTTCATTAATCCTAACCTATACTATCTCAAACTCCACGCATTACCATCAAACTTCTCCTCTATCGTTTATTATCCAACACACGTCCAATCGTAATAGGCAATAAAATCTCTCAAACGTCAACAACAAACGTCGACCATTCCAAACCTTCGCAGGCAAATAATCTTACATCTAAATATCGTCGCGATCCACCAAGTGTTGGATCAAACGTTCCAACCTCGCATAATCGAATTCCATTTCGAAACCCCTCGTCTCATCCAACAATAACATCGACGATTAAGCGTCCAGGACTCGACAGTTCGAGGCGAAGGAAAAGCGGAGAAAATCGTGGACTCGATCCCTCGTGGGAGAGAGCGCGAAGCGTCTTCGACCCTTAAATCCAATTAACGAGCCACCCTCCGCGCCGAGGCCGATAAATAATCGTGGCCTGCTCCCTCCCCCT